CGACACATCAAATTCGCACTCCATCCAGGTGTGCGCACACTCGAATTCTATTAAATTTTATTTCTGTAAATGAAGCGAGAACATGTTACATTCTACGCTTATTAGCCCACTAAATTAAGAACACCTCTAATTTCACCGTCAAGATTCCAGAATTTAAAACGAGAACAAGCATGTTTGAAAAGTAACAATTTATAAACTACTTCGAATAGCAGTAAATACTTAATATTTCGTTTTACAAAATGTGCATGTTGAAGAGGAGATAATTGCTGTAATTACGCAAATCAATGGACTACTGATTTGAACTCAATTTATTGCTTTGTTTTGTCATTGGTTTATGACATGAAGGGCAACACTTAACTATTATAACCTTCATTGACGGACAATGTTCATCAATCACATTCAATTAACGCTGGGACACTAATCATTATCAGGGATTAAATATCACGCGAAAATGTCATCGCTTTTAACAGTAAGTAATCATATTACGCCAATGAGAGGTTTATAGATATTTAGTCTTCAAAACGAATTGTTTCTTTAGCAGTAAATAGTTTGTCGCAGGTATACAGCAATCAGAATAATTCATGCACTAAGTACCTCAAGTGAAATGCAACTACTGTTAACGCTGGCAAAAGAGAAGTAAAGAAACGAAACCAAAAGGAAAAGAAACGAAAAGAAGAAGCGAAAAAAATATAGTATTATTTTTTTAAATTTAAACACTATGCAATTGAGGATTACTTTGGATTTTCGCATCCATTGCTTTTAATAAATGATAAGCACCATTACGTTTTGCACTTTGCTACTCGCAAATACTAGGTTTGTCAAATCAGCGCCATTTTCCGTTTAATAAGCACAAAATATACGATTCGTGAAGTGTTCATTTATCTTGTTCTCTTTAATTTTTTTCATGATCTCGCGTGTATAACTCAAGTTACCGATTTTAGGACGCCCGAAAACGCGTGAGAGTTCACGAATCAGAGCAGAGACGTTCTTGGAGTTGTTTGCATGTGTTAAATTTAAAAAAAAATGTTTTTATAAAAAGTATTATTTATTATAAATACGTAATCAAAGATAAATGATTTTTTATCTATTCGATTTCGGTATATTAAATTATATATTAAATATCGGTATATATTAAAATTCGGTATATTAAATATTAAGTCTGGTTGTGGTTATACCTCAAATGGAAATGGCATTCCATAATTCATAATTTCGTCAACATGCGTTTTCTTTATCTCGACAACAAAACTTAAGCCACGCGCTTTTGGAAATTCCATTGTAAAAATGTACATATGTCAATAAAAAAAAGCAATATCATTTATTTGTGTAGAATAAACACAATGATACTTTAGAAATATAAATGTCACCAATTGCCATCACAGAGCAATTATTTACGTATACATGGTATATTAGTTCATTTGAAATGTTCAGTGATGAGTGGGATTTTTAAAATTAAATTAATATTTTCTAATATTAATATTGTCCTTTTTAACTGCTTGAAACAATTATTTCTACCCTGAGAATATCTGACTGTTTATTGAAATTTGTATTCTCCAATGCAATTAGCGTTCTCTGTTTCAGTTATTCAGTGCAATATTATTCTCTCCAGTTCTTCCAATGACCCGTAAAAGCGGCCACTCAAAATTCCAATACTCATTTCAGACAGCTTAATGCGCGTATGCCATTTGAAAAATGTACACACACACGCGCTCAGGCTCTCCCTAGCAGGGACCGACAATTGATGAAGCCGCAAATAAGCCGCAAGCCAATCGCGGAGCGGCGAAGCCATAATCAATGGAAGAGTGTTGATTCTGCGCGGCACACGTGGCAGCAATCGGCTGGGGCTATGAGGAGGGCGATGTGACGTGGGAATAGTGGCGGTAGCTGGGGTGGCGATAGCTGCATTGGGGAGGGCGGAGAGAACCGTGTGGAAACAGAGAGAGAGACGGAATAAAAAACCAGAAGCAAAGTCCTAGTTAGATCAGGGACATCGGTACGGTCTGCGAGAGTGATTAGGATTCTAAGGGCGTGGATTTTGTATTTGTTTTTACCTGTAAAAGGCAACTGGCCTCGGTGCCGTTAGATCACGGGGTTCATCCAATCAGGAACTCGCGATGTTTCCAAGGATTCTTTCGCGATTCACGTAGTTAACGAATTCGGCTACCGACGCCTGTTCGCGGTCGTGGCCTTTCAGTGGAACCATCCCAGCATTCGCCTGTATGACCGAGGGAAACCACGAAAACTTCGGTTAGGATGGCTGGCACGGGGATTGAAACCGGGCCTCTTGAATGCGAAGTCAGCGCGCTACGCCCCGAGCGACTTCGCTCGGTTAAGGGCGTTAAGGGCACTGAGGACGGTGAAGAGGAGGAGGCGAGGTTGGTGTGGAGGGTGATGAGGACAATGAAGAAGTGAGATCGAAGATGATATCTGGGGTGGCTATACGGACGCCAAAGGCGAATTCGAGGATGGCGGCAATGGTAGTGAAGGGCAGAGTGACGAGTAAAGAGAGGAGTCAGAGAGAGCAGTGGGGACAGAAATTAGGCCGGCGAAAGCGGAAAACGTTTAGTGGTTGCGGAGAGAAGAGAGTACGATGCGAGTATGATGAGTAGTGATGCGAACTGAAGAAAACAAGCCATATGTGTGGAAATATCAGACTCGCAAGGGAAAGTGACAGGTGAGGATGCATAGTTTTGACAAACGAAGAAAATGTGAACGGTTATTGCAATGGAGGAAACTGCGGCAGATATCTGTGAGGAGAAAGAGAGAGAAAGAGAGAGAAAGAGAGAGAGGGAGAGAGAGGGAGAGAGAGGGAGAAGAGGAGGGAGAGAGAGGGAGAGAGAGGGAGAGAGAGGGAGAGAGAGGGAGAGAGAGGGAGGGAGAGAGAGGGAGAGAGAGGGAGGGAGAGAGAGGAGAGAGAGGGAGGGAGAGAGAGGGAGAGAGAGGGAGGAGAAGAGAGGAGGGAGGAGAAGGGAGAGAGAGGGAGAGCGAGCAGGGAGAGAGAGAGAGAGAGAGGAGAGAGAGAGAGAGAGAGAGAGAGAGAGAGAGAGAGAGAGAGAGACGAACAGAGTGGGCGGTGGTGGTTAGTTTGTTGGAAAGTAAGCAGGGAGAACGATTGGCGGGGCGGTTGAGGTGAGAAAGGTGGCTGGGGTGGAGGAGGCGAAAGGGGGCTGGACTGGTCGGGGAGGGACAGCCGGGGCAGGGGGCGGTGCGGCTAGCGGGGTAGGCGGGCGGGTGTGGTAATCGCGGTGAACGAGGTGGTAAAGGGGCTGAGTCGAAGCGGCGAAGCAGGCAGAAGCGGATGGGCGTGGTTGGGTGGGGATGGGGCGGGCGGGGCGGGCGGGGCGGTGTGGTAAGCACCGTGGACGAAGTTGAGAAATGCTGTTGGGGTGGAGCAGATGATGCGGAGAAAGGCGCGCGGGGCAAGGAGAAGCGGGGGTGGGGTGGGGTGGGTTGGGATGGTGCCGGAGTGGAGTGGAGCTTCGTGGGCGGGGCGGCGTGTTGTCCGCGAGCGCTGTCGCTCCACAAACAGCGTGCGTGAGAGCAGCGCAAACGCCGCGAGGACGCCGCTCCGCGCCGCGCGCGGCCAAATTCACCGCTGCGCCCGAACGGCGGCAGTGCCTCCCAGCCCCGCCCCGCCCTCCGTCATTCGTCCGCTCCAGACAGAAGTCACATCTTCATTTAAAAAGAACAAAGAACGTTTAAAAAGAATATAATGACGAAGATTTTGAAACACTTATTCAAGAGTGGTGGTCACTCCTAGTACTGAAAGAAAAAATGTGGCTATTTTTGATTAATTATTCGGCAAATCTTAATCACAACTAAAAAATAACCCTAAAGGGGTAATAAATGCATTTCTTCTGAAATTCATTCTAGAGCAAATAACGCAATGATTGTAAATATTCACATGTGGAAAAAAGAAATTTCGAAGCCTATTGGTTCAATATTTGTCAAATTTTACAATATAAAAAGATATTAATAATCTACAAAACACAAGGGATCTCTTTGAGCATAGTTGTTATGTGTTATGGCAAACAAAACATTTTTATTTCTTTTGTATTCTATTAAATGCTTATCTACCACGCAATACATGTAAGCAATTTCGCCAGCAGCAACGTAATTCCATGTGAGGAGGCGTAATCGTTGTCGTAATCATCTACAAACACTTTGGTAGCTACAGTCACAAGTTGTCTGAAAGTGCGACCGTTTCATGTGTTGTGTGCGTACATGATGCCAGCCGAAACCTTGCTCGGAATTCGTCTTAAGATTTCAAACAAACGGGAGAAATTGGACAAAAAGTGTGTGATTGGTTACCGCTGTGGGGTGTGATGGTTACTCGCTGGGGGGTGATCGAGGGTGCGGTTGTGCGGCAGGAACAGGCAGAGATGGCCACGATGACGGTGGCGGAGGGATGTCAGGTGGCGGTGGCGGTGGCGATGGCGATGGCAGAGGCGGAGACGGAGGCGTGGCGGAGGCGGAGGCGGCGACGGTGGCGGGGCGAAGGTGAAGGCGAAGGCAAAGGCAAGAGCAAAAGCGATGGCGGTGGCGGTGTCGAGGATGGTGCGGTTGCGGAGACGAAGGCGACAGTGGTGGTGGTGGTGGTGGCGCAAACGGTGGCGAAGACTGTGACGGAGATGATGGCGGAGACGGTGGAGAAAGCAAAGCACACATTGGTCGGCGAGGCGGGTGCGGGGCGGTGGCGGAGACGGTGGAGGGTAGTGGCGAAACGTGGGAGAGGCAGCGGCGCGGCGGCGGCGGCAGTGGTGGTGTGGGGTGATGGTGGTGGTGGTGATGGTGGTGGTGTGGTGTGATGGTGGTGGTGGCGGGTGGCGTGGCGGTGGCGTGGCGTGGCGGTGGCGGTGCGGTGGGCGAGATGGGCGCGTTCCCAAGTGAAGTGTGCCGTGGCGGGGCGAAAGCAGCCTGCGAGTGGCTACAAGCAGAATAAGGTGCGCGGCGAGCGGTCGCCAGCAAGGATGTCCGTGAGACAACATGCGATTTCCACTCTCTTAGTCGTCCTTTTCCTTCCAGCAACCTGACGATTCAAAAATCGCCTTACAATGGTAAATCATCTTTCCTTTCGGCTTCCGGGCTCTCCCAATAATTTCTCTCTGCAGAGCATGCTTTAGAACGGATCAAGTGCAGATAATTTTAATGAAATTGCTATAACTTGCATTCAAGGAAACAGCTTAAATTCTTTCGATTCTACTCGTTCTTACTTTTATTCGACGATTCCTTTTATCTAGAAATTGTGTTTCTTATCCCTTTCAGTTGAGAAAGTGACAACAGAAAAGAACTATATTTTAAGTATTATGAAACGATATCGTGACATACGATTCATTCAACTGGATTTATCAGAGAAGAATGGTCCAATATTTCAGTTTGATATGTGTGTTTAGGGTATTTCTAAAGGAAGAAATGTAATTACCACAATTTGAATTGCACTGATCAGCTGCCAATATGAACAGTCAATTATTTTAAGTTAAAACATGTTTCAACTCGTTCGATTGGTTTGATTAAAAAAATAGTGTTCTTTTGATGAAAATATGTAATATGCATATTACTTATAACCAATTATATGACCTTTCAGTTGGCAGCAAAATACAACTATTATTACAAAAATATTATAAAAATACTTATTAGGCAGAATCACAAATTTCAATATTGCATAGCGGTTTAATAGTTTCACCGCTCTTTTAGGAGATGACCAATAGATTTACGAACTGTCTCGATATTTTCCACCACAAGCTTGCATTGTGTCAAGAAAGAAATTTCTCGCATCTTTGCAAACGGCAGTCTCAGAATTAATTTGCGAACATATACGATGAATGTCTTCATTGATTTACAACTACGTCTCTTTCAAACCACTCACGATTACGGCATTTATTCACACGTGTGTCAATCTGGCGTCACAGAAACGCTTGTGTGTGTGGTGTGGAAACTACACAGCAATATATGCGCAATTATACACGATGGCGCTTGGACGCTGCAGGGCTTTGCAAATGCCGAGGTGACAAGTTGACAAACTGGTAGCCAGCGCACGCCTCAACATGTAAACTAGCTTGGGAATGTTGGTTTTACATTACCCCACCGACGACGTAATATGGCGTATCTGTTTATAAATACCGATAAAGATGTACACTTTCAAATTTTTGTAGTTTCTCTACATTCATAAATGATGGTAGATTTCAAATATACAGTTAATTTTGTATAACGGTTGATTTACAGTAATATGTCAATTCCGTTTTTCAATACATTGCAAACGAATCTATCGGATATTCGGTACACAAACAATTTTGAATACAAAAATGGAGGCTCCCATCGTTGAAACGAATTCAGGGAGGGTGACGAAACTAATTCGACATATGGATACCCATTTAAAATTACGATTCGTCTTTTACAAAAATGTTATTGCTGTATTATTTTTGTGTTCCAATTAATAAAAATGCTAAGGAGACTTTTCCTATCAGTTGTATAATTTCCGTTTCATAAAGATCAAGAAATAATTTTGTAACTCGAAACAATCTACATGGAAGATATTCACTATTATCCCCATAAATCTTTCAACGTTCGTAGAGAATAAAACATGTACTTTATGAACCAAAAACCCTGAGTATTGTGGACGATTTGTCCCTGAGTATTGTGGATGGATCCGCAGCGCGTGGTAGGACTATTGAGACAAGCGGGTTGTAAATTCATACATCGTTATCGAAACTGTATATTTCCGAAGTGAACGATTTTGTACACAGAGAAAAGGCAAAGGAAGTGAGATAAACGAAATATTGTTTGTATTTAAGTGAACAAAAAATCCTCTATCCGGAAACTTGGTGTAATGTCACGACAACACAAAATTTAATTCTCATAAATTGTCACTTACTCGTAAGATCTAGTATAGTACACGATGAAGAAGGTTAAAGAGAAGAGGAGGGAAATATAATGAAAACGAAAGATATAAGATGAAAAAGACGGGGAAGAGAAATATGAAGGCAGAAGGGAAGATCTGGTAAATGAGAAGAAGAAGAAATTGAAAATGAAGAGAAAAACAAAAAGAGGATGGAGAAGATGAAAGATGAAGAATAAAATATTTCATCCTTTAATAATGTCAATAACAACCTCCCAGCTTCCCAACAATTCGAAGATGAAGTAACTTCCCCGCCTCCCCACTGAGAGGAAAGTAGGCGTCTCCTACCTGGCAGCTGGTCGGGCGGGTCGTCGGCGCCGCACGCCTTGCTCTCGGTGCGGCAGGTGGGCGTGGCTGCGGCGGCGGCGGCCGCGGTGTTAGCGGAGGCGGCGGCGTGCGGCGCGGGCGCTGGCGGCAGGCGGGCGCGCGAGGGCGTCTGCGTGGCTTTGGCGCTCGCCTGCGCGCGGGAGTCGCTGTCGTCCTTCGCGCTGTCGATGTGCGGGATGGGGCCGGCGAACTCGAACATGGGGCTGGTCTGGATGGACGAGTCGCGCTTCTGCACGGGTGCCGGCGGCGGCGCGCCGCACGCGCACGCGCACGCCTCGCGGCACTGCGGGCACGGGAACGCCAGCTCGTCCAGCGGCACGCGCTCCAGCGCGCGCTCCACCTGCGGACACGCGCGCACGCGGTCACACGGCGTTCCACCAATAGGCATTTACGTAGCTAGTGCACACAGGAGTGTTTAACGTACGTTATATATAATATATTATTATTATTATTATTATTATTATTATTATTATTATTATTATTATTATTATTGGCGTATAGGCCATTACTGACCACGCTACACGATTAACGTGTGTAATTCTTCCAGAATCAGCTTTTTATCCTTGAATTACAACAAGGTTGTTACGCCTTGGGGTGTGAGTTATGAGATGATAGGTGAAGGGACAATCACAAATATGATCATGTCTACGCCATGTATTATTGCCTAGTGTTATCAGGGGTATCAATTTATATTTTCCTAATAAACATGATATTAAAGATTTTATTATTTATACCCGCAAACTTAGTAAGATATTTTGTTTAGTTCAGACGCGCTGCTTCCAAATGCACTGCCTTGGGGGCGTGGCGTGGGATCGCGCGTTGAACTCACCGAGACGAGCAGCGTGTGCAGAAGGGCGGGCAGCGCCTGCTCGCCCGCGGCGGCGCCGTCGGGCGGCGGCAGCAGCGCGGCCTCCTCATGGCCAGCACCTGTCCAGCTCGGGCGTCGGCGACGGCGTCGGGCGTCGACGTCGGCGACGGCGACGGCGCGGGCATGGTCTGCTGCGCCGCCTCCTCCGTCAGTGGGGCCTCGCGGAGGTCCCGGGGCGCCGGCAGCGGGCGGCTGGCCGGCGGGCCCTCGGCCCCGCGCCACACCAGCGCCACCTCCACCCCGTCCGCGTCGGGCGCGGCCCGGGCCTCAGCCGCGGCCTCGGCCTGCAGCGCCGGCCGCACGCACAGGTAGCAGTCGCGGCTGCGCAGCAGCGTCGGGTCCAGCTCGCCCAGGTGCAGCGCCACGGCGGCCCGCGAGCCCAGCGTCAGCGGCCACCCGCGCACCGACACCGCATCCCCGCCCTGCGCACAGCGACCACGCACGTCAGCACCGCCACGCCGCCTCAGCATACCCATACATTAGCACAGCCACACATCAGCACAGACATTCTTTAGTACAGTATATTTCTTTCCATAAATCTCTTAATGTACAAATTGTTTCCACAAACTTGAAATAATATCTTCCGACGAACACATTATAAAACGAAATACATTAAAAGAATCAAATAAATTTAGATATCGCCGAATATATATTTTCAGCGCCAAACTATAGTTTTTTGAATAATTGAATTGTAAAAGTTCCAAAAGAAGTGTTATTCGAAGCATTACCCAACTCTGTTTTACATGTACCTCCGAACAGTGTCTCTGCAATTACTGCGAGTCTCAGTAAAGGCAACGGTAGAAGATTCTTTTAATTAATGGCTATAAGACATAAGGTTTAACTGACTGTGACACTATAGTTTTTCACACAAGTAGAATATAATAAGATTCATATTCTTCTAACGTGAGAGAATACGGATTCTAGTTACTGCACGAAACTTAAATTAGGTCCACTTCAGATGAAAGTCAATCGGAAAGTAAACTAACGATAATAATTCTAAAGTAATATACCCTAATTAAGACAAATACTAAATCAAAAATACAATGCAATGAAGTAGCAATCAAATAATTGAACACCTATTTACACGTGTGACCGAATTGCTGGTGTACGAAATAAATATAAAAATTATGGAAACGGACTCTCATTAAAGTACGAAAGGAAGACACGTTGTGTACTACAGTTATTTCAGGTACACAATACAACAGACAACAACTAAGACAACCTAGTACAACAGGTCCCACGAAGACTACTGATTTCTCCAAAGCTGTAAATTCCCTTCCGCCAGCACGCTCATCCAATTGCGCCAGCAGATCACGTACATAAACCCGCATTACCCCACTTTCCCCCAACCGTTCTCACACTGGACGTGACAAGTCTCTCGCGTCCGTTACACACCGTCGCAGGCCACATTTCCGTCAACACATCCACACACACCTCCCTCATCCGATACCCGCGCCTGGAGGACGCACACGAAGAAGGCGTGTCCAATTGGCACCGCAAAGCGAGCGAGACGATCCAGTCGCGCGTCATTAATCTATCTCCGCGTGCGCTGCGCGTCCGAATGCGCGCTCGATCGCCGCCGTCGCGCGCTCTTACGCGAGAGTTCCGCTCGGCGGCGAGCGGCCGCGCACACGCGCGTTGGCCGCCCGCCACACGCCACACGTCGCCGTGGTCGTCGTCTCGCCGCCTTCGAAAGGGGAAGCGCCGCAAACAGAAAGTGAAAGCGTGCTCGCGAGCCGCGCGACCTTGCAGCGGAGATTAGATATGCGTGTTCGGCGCACGACGATAGACTGTGCACACATACGCGTTCCTCGTGGCACCGCCTGCTTCGTGACCGTGGCATCGTTCGTAGTACGGATACATAAAGGATGGTCGCGAGGATCCCCGAGGGAACGCCTTCCGTGATAAATAAATGAATAAATAAATAAAAAATACAAAGCCCGGGCGGACGCTCGAATTTGTTAAGGCGTGGGCGGAGCCTAGGCGTAGAGGTTTACCTCTATGTTATGCGATGCAGGGCATTCCTATCCACTATGCATCGCCTTTGCAATATTATCCCAGATTTCCTTTCCTGCTGATGTAGCATAGTAGTAGCCTGCACTGTAATTCAGGTACACACTACACACGAGAGAGCCATTTCCTAGACTATGATTTGTATGGGCCTACGGGTCACAGCTGAAAGCCACTTATTCATGATAATGGACCCACTATCAGCTAATTACCAAGCAATCATGTAGGAGTTCGTGGACTAGTTAATAATGGCACATGAGCATATAGTGCGTTGCGTATTAATATGCACCCAACTATATGCGGGCTCTTGGACTTCTTCGCTGAAAGAATGGGAGGAACATGGTAAATGCCTTGGTGGCCATGACTAAGATTTGGTCAGAGGGAGTAATTCTATAAGTCCAAAAATATATTAAAAACGAAGTGTAAACAGCTTAAGCATTGGTTACTTGAAGCCTAGGAAAAGGCAAAGAAGAAAATAGGTGCATGCATAAAAATAAAAAAATAAATCGTTCCATTATGTGACCAAAATGTAATTTCTATATTCAAAGATGTTTAAGTGAGACCTACGTATTAAGTAAACTGGAGCTTTTTTACCCTTTTAGCATCTTACACGTTAAGTTTACTAAAGATTCATTCCAACTTCATTCCTAAACTGAGAAAAACCCCGCTAGTTTTCTGAGAATCAAAATGCGTTGATGGAAACGAAAGTTATACAGCGAGAAAAACAGACGTAGTTTACGGTCAAAGATATAATGGCCGTCCTTTCGGTTATCCGACAATAAATAATTCTCAAATTATGTTCTTCGATTCTATTAAATTTATGAATACTATCGTTAATGTGTCTCGTGTATGCATGGGAACACAGGTTGAAATTTTTTAAGCTGTAAGAAAAAAGCAACGGAAAGTAAGAGAAAAGAAACCATGGATGCTGGCTATTAGGCATCGTTATATTTGAGCAGAGGAGGTATATCGTAGATTGTTAGTATTACATTGAAGAGAAAGTCAATAAGCTTCTTACAAGAAGATTATCACACATAGTTGACATGTTGGATATGGATGCGGGATCATTGGTATTCGGGTGTCAATAACAAGCTGATGGTGTGTATTCAAAGACAGATTAGAGACGCTAATCGTCTCACATGTCAACCTGCTCAAAGGATTGTTCATGACAACCGACAGTAGTATCCATAGGGTATCAGTATCTGGGTCTTCACCGTTACCCGTAGTAGACGATATAGTGGAATTTATTGCACTGTACTATTCTTTCTGACGGGTCCCATAAGCTTCCCATAATTTCTCTTGTATTCTCAATTAGGAGAAAAAAACCAAATCCATTCGGTAAAGTGAAAACTAGAAAAAACATTAAAACTCTGCCCAATTTCCACATCCATTCATCGGTCCTCAGAGAAAAAAGACTAAATCCATTCGGTAAAGTGAAAATTAAAAAATAAATTAAAACTCTGCCCCATTTTCACATCCATTCATCGGTCCTCTCATAACTCTTGAACGCTTGCAAGCAAACGTCGGCGGCGGCGGCGGCGGCTGCAGCTCCGCCACCTACCTCAGGGCCTCGGCGATCGTGCCGTTGGCTTCGCCACGGCGGAAAATTGAATACCGCTTTGTGGGGGCTTCCCTTCCGTAACCGACTTTTGTGCGGGCGAGGCCCCGGCCAAAGAGAGCAGCGCGACACGGCCGCTGCCGCTAATTGTCTGCTATTGTAAACACGGGCCCCGCGACACCTTGCGCTCCGACCGGCCGTTAAATTGCGCTGGTAAATAAAGCGACGTAGATGCCGACCGGGCTATAGTGTAATGAACGCGGGTGTGCAATGTGTCCGAGAATAAATGGTATAAACTTGTAAGGCACGTTGACAAGTAGAAGATGATTACATTTGACAATGAACATGTGATGGGGAATATCTTATCAGGAAGTTACACATGTGATATTAGTCCCTGTTTGTTAGGTAACATGGAATGCGATAGTTTCTGGCAAATATATCAAATACCTTTGACTGTTTCAGAGGATGTGAGCCAATTTTTTAAACGACTAAAATTCAGATTGAATGGTAACATGTGACTTATATAAAGCATTTACGGCGAAATTACTATTAGAGAATATTTATGATATATTTATAGATCAATTAATTATTTATATTTGGAGAAAATGAAATAGTACCTTTGCTAATTATAACACATTCCGGTAATTATTATTTCATTACTTTTTAAACAATCATTTAAGTCCCAATCTTTCCCTCCTGGAGTGCAAGTTAATTCATATTTAATACAAAATATACCAAAATATTAAAGAATTTTCATCAACACAAAGCAAACATGAGAAATTAAATTCCACCTCATTATTAGAATGCATATTTTCAAAATATCTTATAAAATAACCCCGAGACGACTCTCCCTCGAGCTCAAATTTGCAAAATGTTAATAATGCTCTTTTGTAGACATCAAAGGTCGTGAATGAAAGGCGAATGATTCATTATTTTCGCCGAAACAACTGGACAAAAAAGAAAGACCTGCTCGTGAAAAACGTAGGTAGAGCCCGCGATCATTTCAGACATAATGCCACTTCGTACACATTCCGGCCGCGTCTCGGGCGACACAATGAAGAGCAGGGTGGACGCCGGGATCGTAAACGACTGGGAAAGTGGCGGACGAGAGCACGCGAGGGGATTCTCTTCCAGGAATCCGGGAACTTCGCGAGCTCACGATCGAAGCGCAGCGCGCAGCGGTTCCGGGAACCACAAGGACCGCGCGGGTCGTCAAGCACGTGCCTCCGTCATAAAAGGCGGCGCGAGTGACACGACGACCTTCGTAAACGAGAATGGAATGCCCCCTCCCCTCTCAGTGGTGCACACGAGCCTGGACTCGTCGCAATAAAGATCGAAGTACCGCGCCAGGGGGAAAAAATTGGACGATGTTTATTCCCAGAAGTGCTGGTCAGTCGGGGAAGTCCTTCAGAGCTGTCGATCACAAGCGCAGACTCCCGGATCGGTCAGCCCCATTCGGATAGGACTGGCTGAACGAGGATGGTGCAAAAACGAGACTATTGCAAATCAATTTGGAGGCTCTCAGACTATATAATAGCATTTTAATGGAAGTTTAATTGTGTTTTAAAATTCTGCCGTACGACCCAAATTTTTGTGAACACACATCTGATAAATTTGTTATCATCTGTGTAATTACGAAAACACAAAAGTTTTTGTTTTGTGAGAATGTTGATCGCAATATAACGTATTCACGTTTTTTTATACATACTATAAGAATTGAATATCTACTTGAACAACTGCTCTATTTTTTATTTCCTTCTAAAAAGTCAGACACTTAATTTCCAGAACGTTTTCCAACAATAATACTCGTAAATTATATTGTCAGTTGTACAGTAAAAGCTCTTACTCTGCATGTGACGTAACAAGCGACTTTAAATTGGCTGGAAACCGCAGCAGCACGGCCCACGAAGTTGAACACCGCGCTATCAAAACATTAGTAAGAGT